GGTTTTTGGTGCGAGGGGAAGACTGGGGTGGGCAGGCGGTGTTGTGTGCCAGCATCCCATCTCCAGGGTCAGAAATGGGGTCGATGCCATCATTCCTCACCCAATTTTGGCTTTAGTTTCCCAGTTGGCAGTTGGCCGATGTTGTGGGCCTGCCTCCCTCTGAATAGAGCGTTCCCTCTGCGTGTTTTGTCTCTTCTGCGATAGCGACAGCAGCTCATCATGTGGATGGGCTTTGACATGCTCCCCTCAGCAATCAGCTGAGCATCCAGCGAGAAGCCCCCAAGGGGACTTGCTGATGAATGCGACCTTCTGCTGGTCTCAACACAACCCCCAAACTTCAGGGGAGAGGAGGGAAGGTTGAAGCCTGTGTCCTCGTCCCAGTTTTGCAGTACTGTCCTGAGTGAATCCTGACCCTGAAGGCCCCTTCCCCGAGGGCTCAGGGAGCACAGGGCTTATCTCGATGACTGCATTTCTCTTGGTCATCAGAATGAATTTGGTCATTTCATGGGGCAGCCAGAGAACATGAGCCCTTCTCTAACATGGTGGGGTGTGGGTGCCAGCCAGTCCCTGACACCGCCAGGTCTGGCCCACATGCATGCACGTCAGATTACCTATCATTGAGAGCATCAGCAGAGCTGAAGTGTGTCAGGCTTTGGAGGAAGGGTGTTATCTACATGTTTGTAGTTCGTTTCCAGTGCCAGCTTCCAGTTTCCCTTTCCCCAGGCCTTCTGGTGGCAGTGAGCAGGTCGGCCTGGCCTGCAGGGGGTCTGTCAGTGCCCTGCTGGCATTGCCCAGGCCGGGCATCACACCTGTGATCAATTCCTGTGGCCCTTTGTGTTACGTGTGCTTCCCCTCAGCCAGCAAGAGCTGTGCTCAGGAAGGGCAGGAGGCATCTGCTCCTGTCCTGGGCTGTGGACCCGTCACCTCCGGTGTCACAGGCCAAGCCGCTTCCCTGTCACCATCCCAGCCTTAAAGCGAGGATCACAAGATGCTCCTAATGCAAAAGAGGGCTGTGGAAGCTCACTCAGTAGGTGTTACTCATTTGCACTCCTCAGATAAAACTGTGGCACTCCAAGCTGTCTTTCTGAGGAATTCGGATGAATAAATTTTGTTTAACAATCCCCCTACGGGTTACGGTGCTGTTACTACCTCTGTTTTATGCGGAGGAGGGAGGAGACGGGAGCTGGGGCAACTTGGCTCATCCTGGGTCAGGAAGGCTCTGGCAGGTTTTGTTCTAGAAATGCAAATGCAGCTGACCTGGTGCTTGGATGTGGCCGAATTGTGTAGCTCACATATTTGGACCATCCACGCTTGTTGTGCCTGCTTCCCATGTGTCTTCTGCTCTGGGAAGAAGGAGGAACATGAGGTGGGTTTTGTAAAATACCCACGGCAAACACATTTTCAGATTTGTAAGCTTGCAAACAGGGGTGTGCAAAGCCTGCTTGTAGAGACCCAGTCACCCAAAGAAGCTGTGTGACCTACTTGTTCAGTCAGAGCAGCTTTGATTCCATGTATTGAAATTGCTGAAAGCAAAACCAAACTGCACTGAGCAACAATTAAGAGAATCATTTAAGAAGTGGACAATGATGAAAAGGGAACCAAAACCCCTAAACAGCCCATTCATAGACTGTGAATGGAAAAGTCTTTGCATACCTGGTTTGTGAGGAATTATTCATCCAAGAAAATTTGGACCTGAACCATAAGACATTTTTTCATTCTTCTCTGATATATGAATCAGTGTCACTCTAGAACTAAGCACAGAATATTTTGACCTATATAATATCTTAGACAGTCAAAATTCAGCTTGAAAAATCTTACAGCAAAAATAAGAAAGGATGGCATAAGCCAGTAATAAGGCATTATCGCATATAGATGCAACTTATCGCTGGAAAACATCCAAGCCGAAGTCAAAAGAAGAGCGTTTTGTAAATAATAGGATTAGGAAGCAGGTTGGTACTTTGTGGGGCTGGCTATACAATCAAACTGATAACAGCTAGATTAATAAAGCAATTCAATCTAAACACGCTGTAGCACCAGAAAGCTTTTCAAAATCAATGCCTATCAGTGCAATTTTAATCGAGGTTGGTCTTTGCCTTTTGAAGCCAAGAGATTTGAAACTCCAGGTCAGTAAGGTGTAATAAAAAGCATTGTGTTTGTTTGTTTGTTTGTTTGTTTAACATGTACCTCTTAATTACTACCTTCCATTTCTTAAAGTTTTCCTCTTCCCAAGTGGGACTGGAGAGGTGGTACAGCAATAGTAGCTTGGCTGTGTTGGTAGCTGTGGCAAACCCTGGAAAATGTGGTGCTTGGCTAAACTGGGGGCATTTTGAGCAACTGGTGTGCCTGGCTGGTACCTGCTGGAGGGCTGAGAGAGACATCTGGATGGGGGAATCTTCCCCGTGGTATCACAGCTCTCATTGTCTTTGGTTGTAGAAAGGGAGATTGTAGGGAGAGCATCCAGAAGTTGCAGTGTGGGACAGGAAGGATGGAAAGGCTGGTGGTTTTGAGGTCACAGGAGTGTTTTAGGGTTGACTGGACAAGTGGAGAGCTTCAGCCAAGTATCATGTCCCAGTCTCAGGCAATCTCTGTGGCTTGGAGAGAGAACCCAAGCCCAGTGGGGGGAGCAGCATCCCTGCCAGCATCTCAGGAGCTTGCCAAGAGCATCCCTGCTGCCTCTGGGCCAGATGCTGGCTAGCAGAGCCCTGCTCACTCCTCCACTGCTGAGCTGTCCCTTCCAAGTTCATATAAGACAGCAGTTCACTGCCATAATAGGGTACAGATCATATAAATACCCACCCAGGGAGGAAGGCAGCATTTTCTTGCCCTCTTGGGTGCCTGAACAGGGCAACCACAAGAACACTTTGTGCTGTTTGCATTGAACACTTTGTGCTCTGTTTGCATTGCAATATTTTGAAAACTTTTGCTTTTCACAGTGGAGGGAAAATGAAGAGCTGACCTCTCTCCCCACTGCCTCCACACGCAGCGAGCTGGGAGGTGGGCTCCCGGATCTTCTTCCTCACATCCAGCATCACCTGCCCAAGCACCTGCCTGAATTTCAGGAGAAAACATGCACAGAGCTGTCACTGGGGGCATGTAAAGCTTAGCTTGGATAAATGCATTTGAATAACATGTTGTGAAGCTTTGGATCATTCCTGCTGTAGCCCCAAAAAGTGGATGAGGTGGGCACTAAGAGGTCTTCTCCACTTCCAGATTTCTGTGATTTTTCCCCCCCTTTCACAGAGATTGTGAACCAGCACTTATTCAGAGAGCAACATTTCTTTTTTCTAAGCCCTTAATCCAGTCCCTATCTCTCTTACAGCAAGTGTGAAGGAGTGTGAATCCCATTTGGAAGGCTCCTTCAGAGGAGACGTCTCTGAAAGGATGCGTGGTTTGCACGCTAATCCAGCCTGCTCCCACAACCCGCGGTGAACCCCATTAAAGCAGAGGCTTGTTAAATGCCAGTAGGCTCTAGGAATAAGCCAGTCCTGCTGTGAAACAGCTTGCTAGCTCTCAGGTTTGTCAGAGGAAAAAGGAGAGTGTTGGAGGAAGAATCTCAGTGGCTTGGCCATAGAATGGGCTCCCGTGGGAGGGAGGGAGGGAAGGGACAACCATCACAGCTTCTCCAAGGGTTTTATATCATGCAGTGCTGAGGGTTGCTCTCAGCCTAACTAAGGGGTTTACATCACATCCCACAAGCCTGAAAATCTTTTTAATGCTACCAAATGGCCATGCTCACTATTTCATTTGTGTCTAATACACCTGGGATCTTTTTAGGACTGCTAGAAATACCTGCTCCTGAGATACATTTTCATTAAGGGATATATTTCCAGGTAATAATATTTCTGCTGGAAAAGAATTTGGTTCTCTTTATGAGCGTGTTCATACAGCTATCTGTACAATAGAAACAATAAAATGGAGCAATGAGGACGTGGTGGCTAAAATGTGTCTGCCACTGAGTGTCACCAGAAAGCAGGGGACAGATTCTTTGTGGCCTGCTACAAAATAGCGAGCTAAAGCAAGAAGGGGCTCTGCAGCTAAATGCAGAACAACACTGGGATTTGTTTAACAAAGGATTTATGGGCCATATGAGTGACACTGGTTTCTGAAGGGGCTTGGTCCCACCTATTTTAAATTATAGCAACAGTCCAGCGCCTGGTGCTGGAAACATGGGCTCTGCCTTCCCACAGGTCCTGCTCAGGCAGGGTTGGTGCCCGTCCTTGTGCAGGGCTGCCTGGCTGTGGCAGTGACAAGGCTGTCCCTTCAGGTCCCAGCTCCAGCTTGTGAGTGACCCCGGTGAGTTGGCCTCATAGCTTCAGCCAGGTCACACCAAGGGTGGAGACCAGGGGCTTCAGGGCACCCATGGGACCAGAGCAGGTTGGAACAGGGCCCTGGGTCTCTCTTGGGTCACTGGAAGCTGGGAGAAGGCGCATGGTGAGGACAAGGTCTCTGCAAGTCACCCAGGAGGCTGTTGGCTCATTTGGGATAAATGGAGACATTGGGTGGTCCAAATTGAATCCCAGGATGAAGCCAGAGGCATGAATCCTGGCCACGTCATTCCATCAGTGCCCTGGAGAAGGACAGGGAGACATCCCTTGGAGACCTGGAGGAGACCTTCTCTAGGCATAGCTCCCACCTGATGCGTTAAAAAAAAAAAAAAAAAAAAAAAAAAAGTTGAGATGTATTTAACGCAACCTGTAGGCTGCACGCTGCTTTGACAACAGAGACCAGATGTCTTTGATGGCTGGTTAGAGAGCGCAGGTATTATTAATTGGGTTGGTTAGGAGCTTTTTGCTGTAATGGTTTTACGGTCGCAGTAGGGCAGCAGCGACGAGGGATGTGAAAAGCCCTTCACAGGCATCAGGACATCTCCGTTCTGGATGGGGTGAGATGCGAGCCGTGTCTCAGTTCAGAGCCCTTCGGAGCAGGATCTCTTGACTGTTGAACAATGCTTGGCAAAGAGGAGCCGGGTTTATAAATAATGCATTTCCTTTGTCTTGCAGGAGTTCTGGAGGCAGAGGTACAATCAGATCAGCTGTGAACAGCTTACATAGCAAATCTAATAGGTTTGTAAATTAGATTTTGTGTTCATTTGTTTTTGCTGTAAGGCAGCTATTAATCTGCTTCTCCTCTTCGCTGGATAGTGCTGGTCTTATTTAGCAAATGTATCTGTTTCTTTTCACTTCTGCTTTGCATTTTCTTAATCGTTTCTCTCCCTCCTTCCCCAGCTCAGTGCAATAATCATTTGCAAATAACCAAGGATCTGCAAGTTGCGGTGATTGAGAGAATGAGAAAGAGAGAGTTACTTATGGTGAAAATAAGTCAGTGATAGAGTTGCCATTTTCGTAGTTTACTACGTGCTATTAGGAGGGAGAGAGCTTGCTTTGACATCAGAACCCCATTTGGTTTTATCGTAATGCAGTTCTGTAACGTCGCTCCCTTGCAGAGACATTTCGTGGCATCACAGCCTCACTCGATGCCTCTCTGTGTTATTTTTACGATGATGTTGTGTCATCCCAGCGCTGCCAAGTTGTAAAGCCCAGCGACACCACGCAAGAAAGAAAGAGCTGTGCCATTCTGCGACGGTGGCACAACACATCATCCAAACACAGAAAATGGACAGAACAACAACAAAAAAAAATCATAGTTATTCCTCAGATTCCTTTACCCTATTTCCTTTAAGGTTTCTGACACCTCATAAGTAAGCTTTGCAAGGCATGAGACAAAATAGCAAAACACAGGATGGGAAACAACCTCCACTGGAGGCAGCCTCTGGAGAAGGTCCCGTAGCATCTGGTATGTACAAGCACACACGAGGACACTGACATCTAGCCTTTATCAACACATTTCCCTTCCTCTCTGCAACACTACATAGTTTGTGATGTAATGCGTCCTCAGGAGCACCAGCCTTGGGCTGGAGATGTGCTCCCAGGAGCTACACATTGCCGTGAGCCTGGGCTACCAGCTCTGCCCCATCTCTCCCTCTTTTCCCACCCTGGGCTTTACCTGCCTTTTATGAATGTATTTATTTACAAACCGTTCCCTGGCTGGAAAAAGCCCTTTGCACTACAGAGGGAGATTCCCTTCAGCTGGTAGCAAGTGCTTTGGCTGTGTGTTTTTCAGAGCGCTCTGAAGTGTGAAGGCTTTTTCGGGGCTGCAGACACATGCACAGCTTCTTGATGAGATGCTTGGGTATTCTCTTTGGAGGGCGGCTGGCTGAAATCAAATATGCAGAGGCTCCCTTAATTTATGCCATTTGATGTAAATTGCACTGAAGTGCTGGGGCCTATTTGCCTCTTAGAGCAGGGATTAAAAGCTGGGGTCTCCCAGTGATCATCTCCAAACCCCAGCATGAGTGTATCTGGCTGTTTCTCATCCCCCTGCTCATTTCTGGGCATGGAGCAGGCAGGATAGATGCTGAAATCATTTTGTTCTTTTTCAATGGGGAAAAAAAAAGTTACCAGCAAGCCAATCTCCCCCTGTTTGGGGTCTTCACAGTGAGTACCCAACCTCACAAGCAGCACCCAGCAGCTCAATTAATTCATTTCTCCATAGGGTGAAGTGCAGGTTGTGTTTCCCTCTTGAGGTTTTTACCCACCCCAGGAGCTGAGGGGCTCAGCTTTGGGGTGCAGCCCATCTCTCGGTGACATTTGGGGCTCCGCAGGGCTGTGTGTGTCGTCTGCCAGCCTGTCTGCAGTGTGCTCGTGTCTCCCTGTGCATGCGCTTCTCCGGCTGGATGTGTACAATTGTGTTTTATGTAAACCTGTAAGTATGTGTTTGTGTGAGCGAGCAGGTATTTAAGGATCTGTGTCGGCTTGAGCGTGGCGGAATACAAACAGGCTTTCAGTTCTCGTTTAGGTAATAACTACAATTTTGCTTTTCTGATGAAGTTTGAATTCCAGCAGCCACCGCCGAAGACAGTGATTAGAAATGCCATTGGGATGCTAACGGATCCTGTCTCTCTCCCTCGCCCTGTCTTTCTTTTCTCTAGAGCTGAAGTAGTAATAAATGACTCTTCGTCTCCAGCTGTTGTTGACAGAAGTAATGAAAGCATTAAGCACGACATTAAACCAGCCTCATCCAAATGGAGACACAACCAGACACTCTCTTTGAAGATCAGGTACTGGTAATTACCTATAGGACAAGAGACAGATCTGGTCCTCTCCAGTGCAAGCTGGCAAATTGCCTCTGTATATCATCTAAAGAAGTCAAGGAAGAAATAAAAGGCTTATCTCCTGCTGAGCTAGACTTCATATCTGTAAGCGATCGCTTGGAAATGAGTTCCCAGCTGAACCAGCTGGCCCTGCAGCCGTGAAACGCGCAGCATTCGAGCCCCCAGTTTCCAGGCCAAGTGCAACTGGTGTGCAATGCTGGCGTGCCCCGGGGGGAATGCAGAGACCCCACTGATGGTGGGCCAGCCACGCTAGCCTGCTGGAAGGGCTGGATGGGGCAGGAGAGGGCATTAGGGTGGAGACAGCTATTTGGAAGCTGTTCCTGCAGGGCAGGCAGGAGACAAAGAGTTCATCTTCTGCGTTACCCAAATCCCCTCTGTACCTGAACTGATGGGGCCGTTTTCTTCCCTGTCCCCAGGAAACAGATCTTGAAGTTCCTGGATGCAGAGAAAGACATTTCGGTGCTGAAGGGGACGCTGAAGCCGGGGGACATCATCCACTACGTCTTTGACAGGGACAGCACCATGAACGTCTCTCAGAACCTGTACGAGCTGCTGCCCCGCACCTCACCCCTCAAGGGCAAGCAGTTCCCCTCCTGCGCCATCGTGGGCAACTCAGGGGTCCTGCTCAGCAGTGGCTGCGGCCCCGAGATCGATGCACACAGCTTTGTGATCAGGTAGGGGCTGCATCCTGCCATGTGGTGGGTTTGGGGGGGTTGGAGAGGTGCAAGCATAAAGTTCACCGATGCAAACACCTTGCTGTGATCTCCTCCAACCACTGCCAAGCGCTCCTTGCAAACACAGCCCATGTCTTCTCACCCTGCTGTCCCCAGCACCCATGTCCTGCAGTCACACTGCCCCACGGGCCACAGTGGCAGGTCCTGATCTGCCCGAAATTCCCTCCCTAAGATGCTCGGAGTGCAGAGGAGGAGCGCGCCAGCCCTCCCATCCATCCCCAACACCCATGTACATCCGCTAGCTGAGGGGCTGTGGGAGCCCGCTGATGATTTATGTATGTGCAGACATTTGCTTCCTGGCAAGTCTATTATGAAGACAGCCCAATCCATCAGCGGCTCACGGAGGCAGTCCCCTGCGTGACGTGGGGACGAGGATAATGTCACCTCTGCCCCTGCTCATGGCCAGCTGCTCCAGCCCGGCTGCCGGCAGCTCCCTCCTGGCCACAGGGGACTGCACCCATTTGCATCCTTAAACAAAACCAGAGAGAGCAAAGGAGAAAACAGCCTGTTGCTCTTCTGGCAAAGTTATGGAGGGGTTTCATGTCAGGCAGCAAAGCTGCGAGAGAAAAGTTTTGCTGGGCATAAGGCGGGGTAGGACTGGGATTTGGGGTGAAGTCTCCCCAGCCACGTGTGCTAGTGCAGGGCTGGCGTGGACGGGCTCTTCCCACCATAGATTGGCTGAGCCACCACTCAAAACTGCATCCTCACGAGGAGCTTTGCTCCTGGCAGCCTTTTCAGCAGGGCTGGCCATGGGCTCTGTCCACAGCTTTGCTCTTCAGACCCAACGTTTATTTTAAGCCATTTGACTCCTGCGGCGAGCACATCGGATGGGCTCCAGGGCCCCGCATGCTGCTTGCTGGGTTTTCTTTCCATTATTTCCCCATCTGCAAAGTGGGGGAAAATAGCAGTAATGGCTGGTTATGGAGACAGACGGTTAAGACACAATTCCTGCTCATTAAATACTGTAAATTCACTGTAAAACACCACCGGAGAGCACAGTGTGCTGTAGGAACCTCCCATATAACAGGGGGGATCTGCTGGCAATTTATCCCACAGCCCCTCCATCCTCATCCCTCACAGGAGCACAGGAGCCCCTACCCGCCTGCACAGCCCCAGAGGAGGCAGCAATTAAAATGATGGAATGAAACTGGGTTTCTGAAGGTCACAGGCTCCAATCAGCCAAACCCCGTGGAGCCCACGTCCTGTGGCATCCACCTCCTGCTGGTGTCATTGTCAGTGCTGGTGCATGTTCCACCTGGGGACATCTGCCAGCCTGCCCGAGCTGCTGCTGCTGCTGCCGTGGGGTGCGCAGGCACTTACAGAGGCAAACATCTTCCTTGCGTGGGAAAAGCCATTTCATTTTAAATCTGCTGTGGCAGCAAACAAGGGAGGTTTGTTGCTCTGCGTTATTTTTGAGCTGCACCAGCAGCAATACAGACCGTACAAACCCGCCCACAGTTACACGCAGCATTAGCAGTGCCCAGAGGAACCTGCACACGCGTGCCAGCATATTGACATAGCTCGTCACTACCAGGTGAGAGCCTCTCTAATTTATCACAAAGCCTCATTCTTCTTCCTTTCTCCTTCCAAAAAGTGAGGGCAAACAGCACATCTGTCACTGTCCTGGCACTGAGCATCACCCCCACAGTATTTGTTAGTGCCCTCTCTCATATCCACTGCAGAGGGCTGTTCAGTGTTTCCCCTCGCAGGTGCAACCTGGCCCCCGTCCAGGAGTACTCGCAGGACGTGGGCATGAAGACGGACCTGGTGACCATGAACCCGTCGGTCATCCAGCGAGCCTTCGAGGACCTGGTGAACGAGACGTGGCGGGAGAAGCTGCTGCAGCGCCTGCACAGCCTCAACGGCAGCATCCTGTGGATCCCGGCATTCATGGCCAAGGGGGGCAAGGAGCGCGTGGAGTGGGTGAACGAGCTCATCCTGAAGCACCGCATCAACGTCAGGACTGCCTACCCCTCGCTGCGCCTGCTGCACGCTGTCCGAGGGTGAGAGCACAGTTGATGCGCTCGGAGCCAGCAGTCCGTGAGCTTCCTGAGCTGGGTTTGTGCTGGAGGCAAACAGCACGAGCTGTTTCTTCTGCAGACCGCGAGGAAGACTCCACGAGCCATGGCTGGGCCCTAAATGAGAACTGGAGACCACCTTGCAAGCGGGGGCTTCTCACTGGGCTGAGTGTGAGGTGTCCTAGCCGTGCAACAGAGCCCGAGTCTGACGGTGCTTTGCTGGCTGTAAGCCTGGATGTCACCACAATCACTCCCCAAACTACAGTTAGGGCTTTCCTAGGGGAAATATGCGTGTGCTGGCTAGTGACAAGGCTTGTCACCATGGGCCTGAGCAACACATGGGGACATCACCCAGCTCCTCACATCAGGGAGCTGGTGGTAGGTTGAAAAGGGCAAGACCCAGTAGTTCCTGAGTAGTTCTTGAGTAGCCCATGTGCTCCTGTACTGGTGCTAATTACAGTGCTCATCTCAAATGAACTTCTAAGGCAGAGAAAGGTCTGACATGGCCCGGTCCTGCTGATCAGGTAAATAGGCTCAGGTGGTGGTGAATGGGTGTGTTGGGAGGGCAAGAAGGAGCTGCTGCAATTTCAGAAGTGGGGAAGGCACAGCTGGAGGCTACCAGGGAGGTTATAAAGGAAGGGAGCCCCAGGGGTGAGACTTCTACATGAATGCCCTGGGGATGAGGTAGGCTCTTGCTTTATTTCTCTGGGGTGAGAGATCATTTGTTAGGTATTTAGGGAGAGCAGGCAGGTGGTGGCTTGTGCAGGAGGTGGCTTAGTAGCAGCCCCTTTGCAGCAGCAGTTCTCTCTGATCCGGACCCCAACCTGTTGCTCTCCCAGGCTGGGGATCTATTTGAGCAGCTGATGCTCCCCCCTCTAAGCCTAAGCACTAACAGTTCTTGATTACTTCGGGCATTTCTTCCCCCCTGCACCTTCCAGCCTGAGCTTTTTGGAGGGGTTGCTCCCTGCTGACATCGCCTCATGCCAGGGATGGACTGGGCATGGGGCAGGCCCTGGGGATGCTCTCGGGTTGGTTTCCAGCACGAGCCAGCCTAAGCCAGGCTCTGGTGTCACGGTGAATCCCAGGCAGCAGCAAGGCTTGAGGACAGCCGGGTCTGCCCTCCAGTGCCTGTGCTTGAGGCTTCCCTGGGCCTCAGAAGCTTTTTACAGAAAATGCTCGCTTTGAGGTAAAGAAAGGGAAGGAAAATGACACCACAACTCACGTAAAAGGGGGGAAAATCACCCAAATTCTGAGCTATTTCTAGATGTAATTGACTTACTTTCATCTGTCAAAATAGAATTAAGCTCCTGTAATAAGCCCTTTAAATCAACAGGCTGCTAATCCTGTGCTGGCAACCGCTCCTGGTGCCAGCACCTCCCCGCAGAAAGCTCTGTGAGGGTCTGCTGGGGCTGGGCACCGCTGCCCAGCTCCCCACGGGATGAGAGGAGGGTGCCCCAAGCTGCTCGGCTCCCCTTCGAGCCAGGGGAGCTGCTGCCTGCCTGCCCTCCTGCTTAACAGCTCAGCAGCAGGAAAACAAGGATGCTGTAGATTAATGATTACTATAGCATATGGTGCAGTTTGGGGTGAGGAAGGAGTCTTTCCCCGAGTCAAACTGACCAGAATGACCAGGAGTTTAGTTATTTGTTGTCTTTGATACTAATTTCTATAATCATCGTATATTTTTGCTTGATGAACTCTTTGCTGTTAGAGGGGCATGGTCTCCAACAACTTCCACAGCCCCCATCTCTCTGAGGAACGCAGCAGTTATAGCATTAAGCTTTTCCTTTGATGGATCTGAGATTTGTGCAATTAAGACACCCTGTGGAGTGTAGCATGCAGCTGAGAGACAATAACCCACAAAGGCTTCTGAACACCCTCTTGCACTGCAGTGATAGAGTTGTCCCTTCTTCTTTGCTGGATAGAGCTACCTTTGATTTATAATCTATCCTAAGTTGGTTTGGAAACCACAAAGAAATGGGGAAGGTCTTTCAGCTAAGAAATTCTTTTAAGTATTTTCTTTTTTTTTTTTTTTAAGCAATTGCACTTTCTACACAAACTAATGTTATTTCAGCCAACTTCAATTCAGCTACAAAAGCGTTGCCTTTACTCTTCTTCCTTCACTTCCAGAGAAATACATTCGTAAGTTCTTGACTCTTCCTTGAACTGCAGAATTTATTGTCCTGCTCTGCTTTCCCCCAGACCAAAATGCATTTCCGTGGCAATTGAACACTTCTTCCTATAATTTGCAGTGCATTTGAGGCACTTGTAGAGCGTGCATCACTGAGATAAATAAAAAGCATTTTGCTTTTGTTGTCCTTAACAGCATCATGTGAGACACCACCTTCCCTGCTGTGCTGGTGCCTTAAATGTTTGCTGGTTGACTTTGTGTTGGTGGTTCTGGATGACCAATGCAGTAGGACAGAGCCTCTTCTCTCGCAGTTAAACTCACCAGCTCTGCTCCCTGCATGCCAAGAGTGGGGAGAGCCATCAGCATTTCGATGGAGGGGCTCAGGAACAAGCTGTCAAAGTGATGGAGCAGGGTTACAGCTAAGGAGCCTGTTTCCAGTGCCAGTTCCATGGGTTTTGGGGTGCATGACTCACTTCTGAGAGATTCTCTGAAATGTCTCCTGGGCGATGCTTCTGGCAAGCGCGGTGCTCATCTTCTGGCTGGGAAGCAAGCGAGCCCCTTATAAGTCATCTGTTAGCGTCTCCAAAAAGCCTTGTAATCCCCATTGCCAAGCAGCTTTTGTTAGAGAAATAACATGAAATGCAGGAAACGGGGGGAAATAATTATGTCTGGAGGTCTGACTATCACCTCTTGCAGAGAATTCATGGACGCGTTTCGGTTCGCCTCGTATAATCTAGTCTAGCTTTTCTCACCGTGTCCATCACAAGGCTCTCTTAGCTGTAACCAATTCTAATCCCATCAGATTTTATTAAGAGCTTCTTTAAAAAAAAATATAAAAATCAATAGATCTTCCAGCTCCTTGGCTTGCTCTCCCATTAGTTTTACCATCCAAGCAGCCGTGACAGCTCGGGCGTGCTCTCTGTGACAGCGATCACCTCGCGTGGTGCCTGCAGCTTTTGTAGCATGGCTCTGCCGTGTGTCCTCAGAAACACAGCTGGGTGGGACATGAGGTGGCTTCATCCTCACCTCAGATCTCTCTCTGGGTCCTCATACCCAAATAACATCTAAGTAAAGCTGTGCGTGGGTTAGATAAGCGGTATCGCAGGAAGGAACGCTTCTGTGGGCAATTATTCTCGCCCCTTCTGCACGAGCAAATGAGGCACGCTGTATCCAAGCTGGTGTCTGTCTCCACCAGGTCCCCGTGATGCTTAATTGGTTCCAGTTAATCAGGAAGAAGATTTAGGTATCTCTTCGTAAAAAGAAATGGAGAAGCATAGGAGGGAAAGGGAAAAGAAATAGTGATTCTCTTCCCAGTTACATTCCTCCACTTCTGTCTGCTTGGCGATGGCTCAGCTTGTGGATGTTGAGTACCCTCTGTGTCCACAGGGGCATTGCAGGTACCCAGACCTGGGTGAGAATGTGGTTATTCATCTGTTACCAATCTTTAGTCCCTCAGCATTGATTTCCTTGTGTTGGGACACTGTAACCCAAGCCCCATCTCCCCCTGCATGTGATGTTTGAAGTTTGGGCTCTGCCCAGGCTGGGGATGAAGCCCAGCTCCAGGCACAGCTTTGGGACTCTCGGTGAGGACCTGAGGGTCAGTCCCCATCCAGCACAGATCTGGTCACTGTAAGGTTATTTTGTTGGAGGTGAAGGAGGAAACTGGACACACAGATGGATGGACAAGAAGATTTCGCTCTCCCCCCGGGCTCCAGCACTTCATCTCCTCTCTGTGCCGTTCCCTGCTGGCCCTGTCCTGGCGTGCAGCAGTGGGAGCACGGGGTGCCAGCAGGGTGCTGATTGCCTTCAGCCAGCCTCTTGCGAGCGTTAATGGGAGCAGGATGTGTGTGGCAGGCAGATAATGTGCTTCAGACACTCAGGGGCTAGCACCTCCACAACAGCTTGTGTTTGTATCGCACTTGGACAAATAAGCTGTTTTAAAAGGGTCTGAAATTGCATTATTTCAGCTATTCTGATTTGTATCACAAAATAATGCAGCCGATGCTGCTGAAACTTGATTTCTTCATTGACCTGGCGTTCTTTTACTCATTTCATCAGTGTGATAGATTTTTAGTTCATTTTATCCTGCTGTTTAACCCTTGCCTGAAGGGTACACATTACTTGAGGGTTTCCTTGGATATATCAGAAGGTGATGTGCAAGCACAGAGCAGGATCCTGTCCTTGCTAATGGTCCCAAATGCTGTCTGCAGAGAGGAGTCCTGCACCCAGCATTTTGGCACAAGCTAGGGACAGATTCTGCCCCCCAAATTCAATGCACTGGGCAATGCAGGAGGAGGATGAACACTGTCACTCCCTCCAGATACAGGTGGGAGCTAGGGCTTCCTACGGGTGGCATCGGAGCATTTTGTCTCCGGAGGGATTCCCACCGGGCCTCAAGAACTGAGCCACACAACAGCAGCAGTGCTGGGCAGTTCTGCTCAGGAGACTTCTTAGAAACCTACTGGGAAATCGGTGTTTCTGTGATTGCTCCATGTGCTGGAACTGTTAGGTTTTGCCTGGGTTTTGGGGAGGAGCAGCACTTTTCCCAGTGGCCACGGAGGGACTGGTGAAGTCTCTTTTGCAAGACACCTGCCGTGTCCATGGTGGATGGTACCTGGTGAGGAGGAAGCACAGGGCGCTGAGCTGCTCCTTCCAAAACCTCTGTCCTTGGCTAGCACCAAGTATCAGCTCGGGTAGGGGCTCAGCCCTGTCTGTGTCTGGGCTGCTCCCTTACAAAAGATGGCCTCGATGCTCTGGTGGCATTTTCCATCTGTCGTTATCATGCTCCTCCAAACAAGAGCTGTCTCAGGCAATTCCTGCCTGGCAGCATTATGGCTCTTATCCATAGCTGCATCCCACTCAGGTGCCAAACCATCTCTGTGGCTGCTTACACCCCTGAGGGTTTGTTTACGCTGCTTCTGAAGGAGGTCGGTGCTCGGAAGGGCTCTGAGAAAGGAGGCATTGAGTTTCAGGACTGCTCTTTGCTCTTCTCTTTTAATTGCTGTCTCTTTCCATAAAATGTTGCAGTTAATAGTTATGGTGATTGGTGTAGCCAATTTGAAAAATAATTACTGCCTGCTTCAAGATTATCTTTCCTCCTAATTAAAATCCCGGACCTCACATATTAAAGGTGTGCTGTTGACACAGCATCCCATGTGCGCCCAGACAACCTCATTTGGATTTACAGAATTAATTAGGTTTTATTTCCATCCCCAGCTGTTCTCTCCTGCACTGGGGATGTGGCCACTGTCTCCGCTGGGCAGTGGTGGGAGAGAAAAGAGGGAGATCATCCCACACTCCTGCCACAAAATGATCATTAAAAAGTATTCCCCAGCACTCACTGGAGATTTTCCACCTTAATTGTGTAAGAAGTGACTTGGAAGAGCTGTGGTGTGACCTGTGGTATGGTTTGGACGTGATATATTGTGTATGGTATCTGTTATTTTCCTTCTAAGCATCTGAATTGCCACTGTCCACTGTGATATTGCAGAAAGGTTTGGAGTGCTTGGTGGTGTTGGGTTGTTTTGGCAGATCCCCTTCCTGCTGAGGCTGGGAGGGCTCCTTGGAGTGCGGCCCTTATCATTTTTGTCATTCTTAATATATCTAAAAAAAAAAAAAAGTCAGCATTTTGGGCAGGCTGGGCAGGTACCCCAGTAGCTTGCTGAGCAGTGCCCTCAAACTGAAGGCTGCATCTTCCCCCAGAGCCACCTCCAATGTGACAGCTCCTCCTGGGTGGCTTTCCTGCTGCAGGAGGATACCCTAATCCAGCATTAAACAGCTCTGATAACCTCCTACTTCTCTGTGCACATCAGGGGCCTGATGCAATTCCCCTTGAAAAAATCAAGGAATCTGTTTGGCAGCCACTTGTGGGATGAAGCAGTAGCACCGCAGCAAGCTTTGCTGTCCCCATAGCTCATCCCCTGGGCAAGCCCACAAAAGGCCAGTGGTGACATGTATTCTTGCTGGTTTCTCCCCACTTTCTTGCTCCTCTTCCATGCTGGGTGCTGAGGAGAGGAGTCAGGGAAGGAGGACATCCTTCCTCAAACACCACACTCATACTTAGTTCAGCTGCCGGTTCCTGGCCAGTTCTGGGGCGTTGGACCCCAATGAACCCGGCCCCTCCTTTCCGTGCATGCTTCTGGAATTTGATTCACCAGAAAAGTCAATTTTCCTCTTATCTCACTGAGAACAAGCAAGTACATTTTGTGCCTTGGTTGCTAAATTTTAATGGCTTTCGTGAAAAGCTAATTTGCAGGATTATGGCTCTGCTCTCCTGCGGGTTCCTGCTGTCTGAGCCCCAGACCCTCGGGAGCCCAGCAGGAAGCGTGAATGAGGAGCAAGACGTGTCCCATGTTCAGTCACCTGCACCCAGGCCCTTTGAATTATCCATCACCAATAATCCACTGGCAGATCCCGCAGCGAGGGCTTGAGCAGGCAGCGGCAGCATCAAACGTGTTCGGGGAGGAGGGAGTGTGCCTGGGGAACTCTTCCACATCTCCGAAGGCCAGCGTTGCGAGCAATTTGTTTTTCATAACGGATTGCCGAGACATGAGATGCTTCAATGCCATAGCAACACGTGTGGTGTAACCGCCAGACAGAGAGCAGGAGATGCTTATTCATGAAGCATTCCCCAGAGAGGCTTTCTTGGCATGGAGAACTCTTCTGCTAGTCAGAAACCTCTCACTTTGAATCACCAATATATCTCCGCTGGAGGCCGGGAAGGGGGAAAAAAGCACAAGAGATGAGCTGCGTGTGCGAGCACAGCCACGGGGGCAATAACAGGCTTTCCTCTTCTGTCTTTTTGCAGGTACTGGCTGACCAACAAGGTGCACATCAAGCGACCCACCACCGGCCTCCTCATGTACACCCTGGCCACTCGCTTCTGCAACCGCATCCACCTCTACGGCTTCTGGCCCTTCCCCCTGGACCAGAACCAGCACCCGGTCAAGTACCACTACTACGACAGCCTCAAGTACGGCTACACCTCGCAGGCCAGCCCCCACACCATGCCCTTGGAGTTCAAAGCCTTAAAGACTCTGCACCAGCAGGGAGCCTTGAAGCTGACTGTGGGGGAGTGTGACGGGGCCACCACGTAGGGCGGCCCCCGGCCGCGTTCCTGCAGGCTGCACAACCAGGGCAGGCCGGGGAGGGGGCGGACGGGCCGGGTGCGGCCTGGCGGGGATGGTTGTCTTTGTCAACGCGCAGAGCAGCGGCACAAATACATATACGTGGTACCTATATATATTGACCTGAGTATTATAACTGTTTGGTGTTCACCAAGGAAGGGGCAGGAGAGGCGCGGGAGTATCTGGAGCGGCCAGCCCGGGCAAGACCATGCGCTCGCTGGGCTGGGAGCGGGCGTTCGAGCGACGTCCGAGGCGTGTGGTGGTGACCTTGGTTTTTGAGGGTATGTTAGGTGATGGGTGAACGTGAAGCCGTTTGTCGTGACTGGTCCGAGGTTGGTAGTTAGTTTGTTCGGCCAAGACCGCCTGGCGCGCTGCAGCAAGGCACGTTCTTGGCTCCGTGCTTGTGGCGGGGAGGGAAGGGGCAGGGAGCGGGGTGGGCAGGGAAGGTTTGTTGGCGGCTCTCACAGCTGAGGAACACCCAGCGGGACCCGTCCCCTGCCAGCAGGGACCGGTGCCTGGCAGGGCAGCACGCAAATCTGATGAGCACAGCCTTTGGAGAGGAGAGGGAGAAGCCTCCAGGAGGCGGTGAATGAGCTGGGTGGATGGTTAGAAGGACTCTGAGGATGAATTTCTTCATCCTTTCTTAAGGAGAGATATAGAAGGGAAGGAGCAGAGATGCTGGAACGTGGCAGGAAGGTTTTTTGCTGCAAACCAACGCCATTAGTATTAAGTGTCTTACTGTGCCCCGGTCTAAGACACTCAACATCTGCCAGGGCTCATGAAAACCATAAGTACATCTAACTCTTAATTCCCAAAAGCTACCTGCTAAGCAGCCTGCCTTCTCTCCCCCTCCAAAAATAACCTCTGAAATATTGGTGATAGGCCTGAGACCCAGCCAAGCAGAAAGACTGCAGGACTTCAAGGGACTTTGTCAAGTCTAAATAATTTATTTTCACTTCTCCGCAAGGAGCCAGCACACAGCGCTGCATTACTGAAGTCCTGATCTATCCTTTCTTTCAAGCTCCAATTAGTTGTTGTTCTGAACAGTTAAATAGGATGTCAGATAGCTCTCAATGGGATGCTTGCGTAGTAATGAACGTCAAAGAAATAATTAATCTTTTCCCATGCCTTTCTGAGAGTACCTAAAATATGAAAAAGTTCTTACAACTGTGTTGGCTTTTCTCTAAATTTTGCATTCCTTTTTTGAGGGAAGTAACTAGATTGGTCTGATTAGCTCATTTAATTTTCTGCTTCCATAACCTCCTTGATTCATCTCCTAATTAGTGCTGGGTGCCAGAGTGCAGGTGAGTCCGGGGTTCAGCAAGTGCAATTTGGGTTTAATTTGTGTGCAAGCAAAATAATGCACAGCCGAGCCCTGGGCACGCATCGCGATGCTTTTGTGGTGAGGTTTCAGCACCTTTGTGCCTCCTCCTACTGCTGTGGTTTTTAAGTTGAAAAGTGTGCGTTTTGGGTCTGAAATAGTTGACATTGTTTCTTTAAAAGCAGAGTGCTTCGAGTGGTAAAAGGAAGAGCTCTCTTTCATGTTTTGGGACGTAGACAGTATGATACCCGTAGGAACCTCCAGCCTGCTAATTAGTGTCAGATGAAGATGCCGAAGATTAAGGTGTAAGCAACATTATAGTGGATAAAAGTGGGCTAATCTGCCGCCAGGGGGACGTTTCTTTCCAACTCCAGAAAGTGATTTATTTTATGTATGCCTTTTAAGCCTGTTTTTTCTTTTTTAATTTTATTTTTATTGAGTTTAGTGACAGGATAAAGTTAAATCTGGCTGTGAACCTCAGCTTAAGCTGTTGAGGTTTCCTGAGACAGGAGGAGGCAAAGAGTGAAACTGCAAGGTGGAAGTCGTCTGCAGTGCCGAGGAGCATCCCACGATTCAGGAGTGGTTGCTAAATGGGATGACCCTGGTTTGTCCTGGTACGGAGGAGGGAGAGATGGGGATGAAGCCACAGGGCTGCTAAAGCCAACTGATGTATTGAGGGGCCTGGGCCACGGTACTGATCGCTGTTAGCAAACCTTCTTTTTAAATAAAAAGGCAAGAAATGAAACAAATGTGCGATTTTTTTTTTTTTGACGTATCAACATGAGAAGTGGGGTAAGACTGTAAGATGTCATGCCGGTTAAATAGGGAAAAAAAAGAAGGGAGAAGAGAGATCTCTGGTGCCCTTGAAGCATCTTCTAGGGCAGAACCCAGGCAAGCTATAGGCAAATTATCCCAAAGGATGAAATTGCTGGTGGGGTTTCTATTCCCCTGTTTTAAATGTATTAAACCAGGACTGAAGCCCTGCAGCTGCTCAGATCAGTGGCAGAGCTCCCATTTCACCCTGCTGCCATCCAGGTTGGTCCCTGGCACAAGAAGCATCCAGAAACCTCCCCGTGCTTTAATGGCCATGTCAGGTCCTCCGGCGTGGTTCTCAGAGGGACTCCAATCCCAATCCCCACTGGCAATGTGCTGTGTCACCTGTTTCCAGCAGGGAGCTGGGACCCAGCCCTCCCAAGCCCCAGAAGGGAGGGCTGCAGAGCCCTCCTGCTTTCTGAGCAGCAGGAGGAGAGTTTGGGGTTCACCTTCTCCGTGCAGGGAGCAGTGGTGCTTGAGGCAGGTGGATGCTCTCCAGGTTCCCAAATTAACACCAGCTGCCCTGGTGCTGCCATGTGGGACTGCAATCAGGCAGCCACCAGATGCCAGGGGACTGGCATCTGGACCGGGCTGTTGCTTGGTGGATGCCTTCGTGCCAGTTAAGGCTCTCCTGCTGTTGAGAGGGAGACAAAACCCATATGGATGCCATCCAGGTGTGTGTGCTGCACTGTGAACGTGCTGGAAGGCCCTTGGCTCTTCGCTCCTCCATCCTGCTGCTGCCTCTATCCCAGACTAGTGGCTCTGGGATGCGTATTTCCCTGCTGTGGGCTAGGAATGAGCTTTCAGACCATAACAAGCAGCTGATGTTAGACCTGGACTTGTAAAATAGAGCTGAATTGGAATTTCCATGTGGCTGAATCCAGAGCTAGGGCTGTGTTTGTGTTTCTGTGGCACTGGTACAGGGGTGCTCCTATCCAAACCCGATGCCCTTTCCATCCTTGTGTGCCTCCTGTCTGTTCTTCCCTCACCACAGCTTGGGGATAAGGGCCTTGACTGCTCAGCCAAGCCGCAGCCAAAAGCACAGCTGCTTGGATTGCTTTTCTTTTTAATCTTGGTTGGCTTTGTTACATCCCAGCCTTCTGATCTTCCGCTCGCTCGGAAGCCAGCCTGGGGATAAGAAGTGGCCTCGCCTTCTGATGCCCAGCAAGTGAGCTCGTGCTTTCCTCTCCCTTTGATTGCTCCAGTGATTTTCTTCCCTGGTGAACAAAGCTCAAGAAACAAGCCTGCCATTACCAACCCAAAAGTAAGGCTTGTCCAGCCCAAGGAATGGCCCTTTGGGAGAGATTCAACTCAGCTCTGGCTGCACTTGTGCCATGGGGCTGTGCCAAGGGGAATGCATGGCACAGAGCTTTCTGTTCCTGCTATGAGAATTCACATACTCTGTGGATGCTGCTCTCAGTGGGGCTATCTTGCCCACACCTCGTACTGGCACAGGGTGTAGCTCCTCTGGTCAAGCTGCAATCTGCGCAAAAGTCAATGATGCCAAGATCCCATCTAATTACTGCAATTTTTTAATTTAACGCAGTGCTGCCTGCTATAACTCTGACTTGTATTTGCTCAGGTGAGTTGCAGTGGCTTCTCTGAACTCCATCTGCCTGAAGTGTTTTTTTTAGTGTTGAGAAACAACTGAATGTGTTTTTGAGACGCTGCTCTTGCGAACCTGACAGACACGATGTTTTGTTTTGAAGGTGTGATGAAAATTGTTTTCAGTTTTACACTGTTTTGGATGCTGCTTGGGAACAACACTGAGAGCGGTGGACTTCAGTCAGTCTGATTTAAATGATACAAATGGTTTCAGTTGGCCCAAACACGAATTCATTTTTAATTTTGTGCAAAACTTTTTAAAATATTGCACCATCTACAGATCTTGTTATACAGATGCTATTTTTTGACCATCATTCCTTCTAAAAAATTTAAGCTACTCAATTTCATGCTAGAGAGGCTTGAAATATGGAAATTAAAGCTTAAAGCTCTGAGATCCTCACCGGGATGGCAGGGACATGGTTATTTCAGAGTGCTTCTTGGCATCAGGAGGCAAAGCAGGTGTGTGACCTTGGTCTCTGGTGTGGTGCCTCCTTACACCACACATTGTTCAGCCCGTTCAGTGTTTTGGTTGCTTTCCTCGTTGTATTTCTCACATTTATGAGTTCATCAGGAAAATATCACCCTGGTGGGAGGCCCAGGCAGGAGAGAAGTTTAAGCTGCAGGTTGGAGAGGCCACCACCACTGGGGAGTGGACTATACGCCTTATTTTCCACTCTCCTAGGAAGTAGTTCTTCATCCATTTTTGCGAAGAAAAAAACTGAGAAAGACTGGGCAGAGGTCTGAATGCTAACCAAAACACCCAACATCCTCACAGGAGGATGTACTTCTCCCCCAGAAGTAGCAGCATCGAGGCATTTGGCAATAAGCTCCTTTTCCAGCTGGAATCACCCCTGTTCAGCTCCATCGAACCTAACCCCATGCATGAGCGAAGCGTTGCATGCCAATTACACGCATGATCCAGCTGAAGGCAGATGCATGGAGCTGCTTAACAGCATCTCCAAGCAAATCTGAGAGCATTTCTGCAGGAATCAGTCAGCTCCCATAAACCCTTCCCGCAGCGATGCTCTAACAACTTTGGGTCAAGCACAAAGATGAAATAGCACCATGGAGGGAAATATCTTCCACCCAGTGTAAGGATACTCGGCACCCAGCCAGCAGCAGCTATCTCCAACCCTCTAAAAAGAGAGGCACGGGGCAGGAGAAGGGTGCTCACCCCAGGGGTGGCCTGGGACCCCATCCTGTGCAGGGTGTCACAGCACAACCTGAGCTATGCCTCCATGGAGGGAGCATTGCACATCCCTGCACCTTTGTGCTGGGCTGGGGGGCTGGCACAAGGTGTGCTTACCTCCCAGACCCTATAAATAAAATGAAATTAAAGAGTACAAAAAGGTATGAAATAAAAAATATAAAATGAAAATAAACAATGAGCCTGTTCCTTATACAGCTTGGGATGGGCACCTGGCTCTCCTTTAAGACTGCACAGTGCAGGCTCTGAATTTAATTCTCACATGCTCTGACCAGGACCAAGCTCTATTTCTTGCATTGCATCCCTGACAAAAGCACGGGGTTTGGGCAGGGCTTAGGCACCAGGAAAACCAGCGTCCTCCAACCCCTAAAGCCATGCAGGGGGAGGCTGTCATCCCCCCCCAAAGTGCCTGGCCAGACGAAACCAGCCGGCGCTGCTGGAGGAGCACAGCCAGCAATAAAAGCTAAGTCCTCCGTGTTGAAATGGTGGCAGGCCAGCTGATACTAATCCTGTGCCTCCTGCAAACAAAACCTCCTGGGCGTTGTGAAATATCCGCGGCTATTTGCTGGTTTGGTTGCCTGGAGAAATCCCTCCGGCGAGCGCCGACGAAGCACGGCGTGTTCTTGCACGACCCAGGCGGCAGAGGTTAAAGCACATTACAGGAGCGTAATGGGTTTTGTAACTAGCACTCTGGAAAGCCTAACGCACTGCTTTCTAGAAAATGTTCCAATTTCGGCTTCAGCAGGAACCACAGAGCAAGGAAAATATTATGCTTGGCCCATCAGTCTTGTGGCGTCTTGCTGTACAGGTTCCAGATGAACTTGCTTAACTGGGCTCGTGTCTGGAAATGACTTTGGATGGGAGGTTGCTCGAGAAGAGGAGCGGTGGCGTGCTCTATTCCTGGACTGCAGATTAGCGCTCCATATGGGTGCGGAGCCAAAGCATATGGACCCGCATCTGCTAGGCAGGCCCGGCCTGGCCCCATGGATGGTTTGTAATGCGCGGAGATTCATCCAGATTTGGGCTTCCTCCAAAGCAAGAGGCGAGCCAATGACTCAAATATTGTGTAAAGCCATTGAAACTAATGGCACTAAACAACAGTCATTTGTCTCCGGTTTCATTTCACTTGCTGTAAAATAATGAGTTAGTTACGGGGGTGGGCGAATGTTGTGTTGTGGATGGGAGCTTTGAAGGAAGCATGGTGAAAAGAAAACAAAACAAATACCGTCTCCATTATTCTGGATCAAATTGCTGCAACGTATTATTCCCCGGAAAGTAAGCTGTGTCCTTCGAATTCATAACATGGCATTTATGCTCCATCTGTGATCAGATTTAGACACTTGCAAGCATAATTTAGGAAACCTTCAACGACAAACGTAAGAAAGCTGGAGAAAGGACGCTTGAAGTTGCTCTGTCACTAAGACAACTGCAGAACAAATTGACTTTGTTCCCACAAGGTCCATATTAACCACAAGCCCTGGGCTTATGGTTTGTTTGTTTTCTTTTAAACAGATTATGAGCACCCAAAGCCTCTAGATCCTATTATGCATTGTCGGTCCTTGCATCGAGAAGCTGTTGTGTGGTGGGACTCAAGATGAAGTCAATAAGAGGCGTCCACCAAGCCCAGAGGCACCACACTTTCATCCGCCACCTCAGAAGGTCTCCTCAAAGGCCGGACCTCAGCAGCTCCATTTCAGGCACCGCGCTGGAAAATTTCTGCTGGATTTTTCTGCCAAATTGCGTGGGACACGTTGAGGAAAGCCGTGGGATGGCCGTCTGGCTGCCAAGGGGATGAGCTGCTGTGGCAGCGCCTGGGAGAGTTCACAGCGGCGAGGAAAACCTCTCTGCGCTAAAGAAATTAATTACCATGCATGTTAGCTCTGTGGTTTGGGGAAATGACTGCGGCCTGATTTCCTTCAGCGCTTTTACTCCTGGCTGGAGACCAGGGGAGCTGTTGGGGTTGCTGACTTAAGGCACCGTAACAAACGCCCAGAAATGACTGGGCAGACGTTATGGTTTGTGACCTGTGGGTCTCACCTGCCTTCAGCACGGGGTTCATGGCATTTTTCTGGTGACTTTACGGAATAAAGGGCAGATTTACAGGCACACAGGTGTGCTCC